TCCGTTTTTAATTTAATATTATGATTACTTGATGTAATCTTTATTTTTTAGTGTGCTATTTTATTCAGTATAACATTGATTTATTTCAGTTTGATGTTGATTGAGAATAAAATATTCTTGTAATAACTTAAAGTGAACTATATTCAACATGAAATGCAACGTGCAATTTTGCTATAATTTGATATCTGTAACTTTTTCCTAATTAATAATCAAATGGGTATACAAATCAATATATAAATAAGTGCATTTTCGACTAGGCTCGTCGTCGTTTTTTGCGGTTAATAAATCTTCACTTGTACCAGTCTTGGTTATTTTAGTTTTAGTAGTGGGAATTGTAGTGGTTCCTTGTTTTTTGAGTATAAATACTAAATGACGTGGACTTAACGAACGTCGATTATACATTTATCTGTGAGGAATCTAGTATGATAAAGAATACCCATGATAGTTCTTTGTTCCTGGTTGCACATGTTTAATGATAGCCGGTTGATTTAAAGCGATTATGTTTGGAACGTATTGAAGATGGCCTTTTTGTAAAATCCAATCTCAGATACCGAAGACCTAATAAGCTTGGGGATCCTACCAGCTGCCGATTTTTCCTTCTGTACTTTCTCTCATGAGCTATATTTTCCTTAGCTTCATTTGTCCTGTTAATGTGTCCAAAAGACAGGTCTAGATTTCATAGCGTGTGGAACAAATTTCTCTACAGCATTGGTATCACTTTACCTTTGTGGCTTTCGTTAGATCCTTCGTTTCAGTTGCTTGAGTAACTGGCGTTCCTACAATCCACTGAAGAATTATCATCGTGATTTGCTTCAATAAGATTTCTCACACTCAATGGACCCGTCCATTTTGTTATGTCCCGATAAGAATAGTGAATAGTAACTTAGGGATCCGTTTATGGACCAATACTATGCATATATTTTATATCGTATAATTGTTAACTAACTAAACTATTCGTATTCATGTCCCCCTTATTATGAGCTTTATTTTGACCTATGAACTATTATTATACGATTTACCATCCCTAGTCTATTAGTTATTGCCTCCCACATTCACAGCCACATTTGGCTAAATCATGTACAAATGTTGTTTCTTATTTTATGGTACGATGTCTGTTTGACATATAAACCCAGTATGTTTTACGTAAATGATTCATATTGCAAAGGCTGTTATTGGTGTCCTGGAATTAAATGGCTGGGCTAGGCAGAAAGCAGGACCGACAAGTACTCTAGACTGCTCGTACGGGTTTCGTGTGTCATTGGTCCGATCGATAATTCACTGCTCTTTAACTGACGGTATTATCACGTTATACATTAACAGGGCACACAGGCCACAAGTTATAACACATTTTTATTAGTTTCTTTGTCCCACAACTTTTCCGGCAAAAAAAACTTCATTTCGTCACCCTATGTTTTATTTCCATTCCATTTAACGTCAACAATCACATGCTATATAGAGGACATTAGAACGAATCTTAAGTGACCTTGATAAATTTCAGCTAATCAAGTCAGTCGGCATTGAGTAAGAGTATATTAAACAAAACCAGGAAAATTAGAGTGGATAAATTTCTTTAACATGGTTTAAAAACATTTCAAGATTAGAAAGAGGCTCTACAGTTTTGAAGTCGTAATGCATACGGCACAAAAACCCATTCATATGGCTCCATAACCGTCGACCTCTGGAGCCATGTTAAGGTCGCAAAAATTCTTTTAGCATCGACCACATTGCTTCTGCATTATTGGCGTGGTGGAGTCTACAAAGTCGCGCTCGTGAACGACGATACGATGCACGTAACCAACTCTAGACAGGTATCGATATGCTTCTCAGTCATTTGTGTATACTGTAGTACCCGGCTGCACATACTTTCTTCTGACTGGCCTTATCGTTGTATCCTGTCGGTTTCTCACGCGCTCGAGATGTCCCTTTTGAGATGATCTATCATATATACCAAGGAGCTGTCAAGTATACTCAACGAGGAGTTACTTACTCAATCTTTAACACTCCATCTATTGAATTAGCGTTTTCTAACGACTGTTTTGTCGACTTCTACAATTCTCCTGATTCCCCCAAACGACTGATGCAAACTTCATTGTACATATATCTCAACAGTACTCATACCATTGAACTGCCGTAACATTCGCTAAAGTTGCAGCCAGTGCAACCCAGTATACAACAATTATCAAAATCTGTCTTCATGTCCATCAGGATCAAGTAAAGGAAGTCTCCGTTCTAGCAAACGTTTTCCTTCAACATATGATTACATCGAAATACAATATCGTCACTTTATTCTGCACAATGTCCAGTAGTCATTTGAATATCGCTGTCACAAATAAAAGAATTTTTCAGTAATCCCATCTGTAGTAACCGCTCAACTTCAACGTTCTCCTTGAAATCCTTTGTATACTGATCGTGTGTGAGCATTGGGTACTGAAATAGGCGCCGTGACCAGAATTTCGCTCAGTCGCTTCTGATCGGCTCGTCCATAAATTATAGTTTCGTCACCATTTTCAAACACCTCTATGTCTAGTGAATACTGTAGAATAAAAGTATCTCCAAAATCAACATTCCCATTCAAAATGTACTCTGTGATTTAAGTATATTTGTCTGTGCTATGATTGCTTTAACCTAGGACATCAGTAAAGCATTTTTACCATCTAGTTCTATAGTTTGTATCACAAGCAGACCTTATGAAGACAAACATTGAGAACAAAAAAGCAATGCACATAGGTTTCGTTGTATTATATGGTTCGTCATCAGTGAGCCTACATTATCCTTATTTGGACTGTCAGATCTCACATTGAGTGCTTAACATTTAAGCTACTGTCATCAAATTTTATTAAGTATTATCTTCCATTCCACTACAATGATCACTTGATATATTAATTTGGAAAAATTATGATTTTCACAAAATTTAATAGAAAAACTACAGATTTTATTCAATATTATCTAACCTGCTATAATGAAATATGTATAATACTGACAAAAATGAACTGATCGACTTATCATTTTCTTAATTTACGTGCATAGTAAAAATACTTTATCACTATAGTAATAACTGATTTTCGTCCACTTTGTAACGACACTCGTCTGACCAGCAGTTTCTTTACAAATTTCTTCAATAACATAACTGTAGTTGCATCAAAATGATATTATGGACTTGACGCAAGTGAACTCAAGACAATTGGAGTTTATACAGTTCGGAATATCAAACATTCACCTAAATTTTCCTTCATACCGCAGTGATATACACTACAATCGAACTTTGAAATGAACAGATCCAACCTATGTGTTAGTGTACTGTTCTTACTTTTGTTAATTTTATGTAAACAGATGAAAAAGGTCAAATGTGTTCTAAGCTGTATGCGCAAAATCATACTTACTTACGAATTTCACATCTACCTGGGTGATTAGATTAGCCAAGACAATGTCCTCGTAGATAATGTCATAACTAGGTGGGTAATCTTATTCGCTATAGCTAATTTGCTCTTATATTTACTCTATCGTATAAGTATGTTATGTAAGAATTGTCTTATTATGCTAAATAAAAATGGTTAATCCAAGTGATTTACTGGAAAACGTGGACAAATTCATTCATATCTCTTTTCATTTTTCGAAAATCATTAACGCAATTGAATTTGTAACTTGATTCTATCATACTTGACCAGTAATGAGTGAAGACCAAATTAATGTTCATCTCTCAAAGTCATTTGTCGTATTCCCTATTACCGCTCATGCAGGATTTGAACTGGCCACTTTTACTCATTGGAATCCATCGAGAGTCGAACCGAAAACCTTGGTCTGTGTGTCTTCGCACAGGAACTAATATACAATAAATAAATTTATTCATTTTTAACCCATTTTCCTAATAATTTTTCACCATTACAGATGCCTAGTTAGGATTTACTCCATTATTATATTAAGGTTGTTCCATAAAATCAAAGTTTTCTTAACGTTGCTTTGTTTCAAGTAGATAGTGTTTGAATCTTAATGATTTACAAAAACATCCTATTGAATAAAATTTAACTGCAAGTTAAATTTATGAACCGATTCGTATCCCGTAAAAGGAACATTGACCAATATTTAAACTAAGACTATAAGGAGTACATGGGGTAATCTTTTTAACGTAAATTTTAAAGTAGTAATATTTTCAGTATTTAAAGAAAATACTAAAAATAGAGTCACTTGTACATAACCAAATGAGATCATCGGATTAAATATTATATTAAGCTTTCAATTCAATTTTTGAGCCAAGCATGTTTAGTAGAGATCATAACTGGTACAGACTGCCAATATAATGTAAGGTATGAACAAGAAAATTTTTTTTATCATTACGACTATACTATTGGATTTAGTAACAAAGTTAACGAATTGTAGGTTTGAAAAAATAGATCATCTCTTAAAAACGACCAAACTAGATTTTATTCAATTAGCTGGACAATTGTTCTCTCATTTTCTTTAGAAGATTCACCTTTACGGGAAAGTTTCCATTATTTACAGTTCAGTCATCCTTACGATTTTTTCTGTCATTATAACAGATACCAACCAGGTGTACAATAAAAATATCAACCTAGCTTTTCAATCTCACGTATTTTAAAACTTTTGCAAACAAAATAAACATTGAACGGTATAACTGTTGTATAAACAATATCACAAGAACTTATTAATTTTATTGTCTAAACACTCAAATGGTGTTTGTTTTATTTCAACAAAATAAATAAGTTGTCTCTGTCTACGACATCGCGCTACAAAAAACGTGAAATGTACTAAAGTTAACTCAGTAATTTCATATATATATATGAATAATTAATAATCTCGGTGTAATAACATTTTTTGTTCCATTTAGTAAACCTTTATATACCTGTAATTATCACTGGCCATTTTCAAAAACACCAACTTATGCTTAATATAAGAATTAATAATATGTATGCACAGTCCTACTGCTAATGTCATTTAAGTACTTGCCCACAGGTCAATTGGTGTAAATTGATACCCATAGAACAATGACAAATGTGCAAAGTAGTCATGATAAAGAAAATCAATTCTCAGTTACGAATATTTCTACTTCAGCACCGATTATTACTACTGATACTGCCACAACTTCGACAAACGCAAAAGCTGCTACTCCAGGAAATAATTTCAGTTATTTAAATCAAGCAATTATTGATATTGAAAATATCTTGTATAAAAATTGCATAGAACTTAATCAGCATGAAACTAAATTAATCACACTATTAGAAAGATCTGAAGCTATGGAAAAAAATGTAAGTAAAAAGGTTAACTATATATATATATATATTATTATTATTAACTTTTTACCCGATGCTTAATTTATTTGAAACTATCAAGTTCAACCTTGTCATTGATACTTGCATTGTGAATATGAAGAACACTGATATTAGCAATAGACCGTAGGGGCAGAACTGAATGGTTGAGTAGCGAACAAATGATAAGCATGAATAAAATAAGCATGGCCCATTTAGCTCAAAATGAAATCATCAAACCATTCGATACCTTAGTAACTAAAGTACCTCAGGTTTGCCAATTTTAAGTATAACGTCGGACTACTTGTAAGTAGTTAGAGGTTGACCTAATAAATTATTAACTTATACACAAATTACGAAATGCTTTATCTAAAACTGGTTATCTTACCCGATAAACTTTTGAAACTTTATAAATTTCAGACTTAACCAGTTTAATTGTGATTAGAAGAAACTGGTAGGAAAATGTTTTGGACCAGGTTTTTGTTTTAACAGAAGTAACGAAGTTCATTGTTTTAATAAATGTAGAGATTTTACTCCGACAACGATTCTCCATATATTTTGTGGCAGCACTGTAGGTAATAGGGATTCAGTGACTTTAAAAGTGGTAAGAGTTATTCTGTGAAATTTGTGATATGAATAGCAATCTACTTTGATATGCCATCAAGTGATACAGGTCAAAGTTTATTTTGGCGGTAATCTTGACGGATTAGCGGCTATTCGGTTACCACTGAAAACCAAACAGCTCTGAACGGTTCTCCCATTCTAGTTCAGAATATTACAGCAACATGGACACTCAACCTCGCTGTGATCCAAACCATATTTTTACACATTAAACTATTGAATTGCCTTGAAATGTTAAGTATTTCCGATGTCAATCAATTCATAATAGAGCATAATGTCCTTTTTCATTCGATTGCTGGAAAAAATAAGTGGTAAATATAAGCAAATAAATAGTAATGTTCAAACTTTTTAGAAGGGACTTTCCTCAACTTACATTGTACACTTAACTGTCTATAGTGGAGATATTCATCTCAATGAATAATGTATATTACCGTGTTTTTTAAAAATTCAAATCCATATGTCAGTTATATGTAACGAAATAATAAAATAAACTTTATCCAGGAGATACTTTTCAAGTAACAAATTAATTTCAACATTTTTTTGTCAAGGTATTGTTTCGACTAGAGAATTATCGTTAAATATTTTTATAGTCACTGTATTATCCAGTATTGAAACGAAAATATTTGAGTCTGATTAAAACAAAACCCTCACTAGCATTAAACTAATAGGATAGAAATCATCGTCTAACACTATTGAATGGATTAAACTTTCACATTTAACTTTAGAAGTAAATAAATTGTACTCGAAATGGAACAAATCAACAGTTTATTCCTTTTTTTATTCTTAAAATCCTTATCACACAATATTGTTTTCGATTGAGGAAAGATTTCAAATGAACTATGATATACGTTTTCATTGCATTAAAAAGGCAATTAATCTGATTGATAAGTTAATTTTGGGGAATCGATGTAGCGTATTTTTGTTTTATTTAGCAATAAAATGGAAAAAAAGTTGCTTAATTAAATAAAGGAAACCTTTTACAAATTTCAATGAATACTGTCTTTATATAGCTCTTTTAGCTCCGCACAGTATTGATAAGACTGAATTGTAATCAACTGTGAATGATGATTAGGGAAAAAAAATTAAAGTTGAAATGAAATCATTGAGATTAGAAAGTTTATGAAGCTAGCTAAAATTAATGACTGTATTTGTTTAGTCAAAACAATTTTCATGTTTCCAAGTGAAATCAATGATTTGCTCAATAAGTGATTTATGATAATCTGCGATACTTAAAGATGAAAGCCGCCAAAACAAATATGTAAATAATAACAAGACAGGACTCAACAACCAATCAAACTCAGTATCAACAAAACAAGCTGTCATTCATATGTGAGGAAACTCGAGTGGCTCATTTCTATCTTAACTTTGCCCTGGTTATGTTATCCCGAAGCACAATGAAAGCTTCAGTGTTATCAACCAAAACTCATTAGAATGAATTACAGTTAAGTGCACGAAATGTTTTCATAAACTGAATCACTGGCGAATAATCAGCTAAAACCTTTAACTGGTTCATTTTATTACCAGTCAAATTAGAAAGTTCGCTAATTTTTCCGCTCTATGTTAAGAACGCATAAACATACTGAACTGATGAGTTAAGTATATTGGATTAAAGCGATGGCTTAAAATCCATCTCATCACTGTCAAATCTGTGATGTCGAATAGCCTGTGTTTAGAGTATTATATTATTCTAGAGTTTAATTAATGAGCATAATTCTAGAACGTTCATAATTACAAAAGCGATCGGTTTATTGAGTAGTTACTTACTTTTAACAATAAGCTTCAAAACCAAATCAAAGTATATTTATCAACTCTTTCTGTGCAATCGAACATCCAACTTATTAACTATCATGACTGTTAGGGACCTATACAACAGCAGCTAGCGCAAATATCCTATTCCACTAGGAAGTCATTTGCTACCTGAATAGCTCAACGATACTGTCACTGACTGTAAAGCTTGGTAACGTCTATGTGAATCTCACATTCAGAGTACAGAGACAAATTCTTAACAAATAACAAGAAGCACAGGAGCAGTACGTTTTATCCATTGCCTTCGGCCATCTATCACCAAAGCTATTACTGTTATTACTAGAGTCAGAAATAAATATTTTGAAACTCATATAACCTAACTGTAATAAGTTCCAATAGGTCCTCTATGAAATTTATTCTCTTTAGGGCGCGAGAAGTAGGCCATTTCAAACTACTCCATTTGTCTGATTTCACGTTCTTCATATTTGACCTGAATATAATTAACTAATTTTGTTTAAGTGAAGTGAAAATTTGGTCAACTGTTAAAAAAACTCATTCAATTTATTGATTGATCACTCTTTACAAACAATACAATCAATATTGACCATTTAATCTATCTCCATTTATTGGAATCATTCATTTGGTCATTTTAAAAAATAATTGAATTAGTTTGTATACGGTTATTTGCTGTTTGAGGTGATTAATTCAAGTTTTATGCTTCTATATAAAAAAGAAGTGTACTGCACCTTGACAAAACCTGAATCATCAGGAAATTATTTACTTCCGATTGTTTTGTTTAATTTAGTTATTGTCTAATGATTGCTTTGTGTCAGCATAGTCACATCCCTGAATCTCAGTGCATACCATTAGAAAGGAAATTAAATGAGTTTGTATAACAACTATAGTCAGAATTTCTTTCGGACTTCAACAATAACTATTTAATTTTAAATTGTTTTAACATGCAAAATAATAAGCGAAAATTGAGTGAAACAAGACATACATTGATGCCTGAGAAATTGAACCGTAATGAAGTAAACTTGTTTATTGATAGTTCAGAAGTTTTACGTCAGGTTTAAACTGACGATTCTTATTTATTAAAATGATCCCAAAACGTTAGTGTGGTAATGACATTTTTGCCTCCCGTAAGACTTCTAACTAATGACATGAGTTCATTATTTACAAAATGCTCAGTAAATATTAAGCAATCTCACTAATGGCTTTGGAAGGTGGTCGCGCAATATTGTTAGTCGATTACAGTTAGGCATATCGACGATTGAATATTGGATCAGTTATCTAAGGATTAAGGACTCATTGAGAGTTCTAAAAGTCCTGGTTTCGACCTGTGGTAGGGTCATGGATTTTTAGGAGTCCTGTGCCAAGACGAAATAGCTGTCTATTGTTTCCGTGTTTTCAACGGTTATTTAACTGAGGTCAGTATATGATGTAAACCATGAAACTCAAAAAATGTTTTTTAAGTGTGATTAGTAATGCGCATTGTCATTAACCAAAATGTGTTTAGTTTTGCAGGTGACAAGAAAGTTCATTTTTGAGAAGAGCTTTCACACTCTGAATCTCTCCAACTGTGAAACATTTAATCTAATGAAATAAAAAATAAAACCATGCGTAATATTGTTTATTATGTGATATAGGTCATTATTGTATGATTCACTTATTTATAATGACAAGCTCACAGACCAGTGACATTTGAAGAATGCTGTAGTTTACCGTCTAAATATCATGTAACAAGGGCTGCATATATTTTTTCTTGAACATTTTCTTGTGTTTCTATGGCTGAATGATGAAAAAAGTACCTAGGTTTTATTATGCAAAATCCAATGATTTAGAGATTTGCAACTTGATTTTCACTAGTAATTAGAAGGTAAATCAAGTTTGGATGTTTCTTCAGTGATTGACAACTCCATTCAACAAATGATGATCATCCTAATAAAAAGTGGTCAATAATATCGTACTTTGTCACTATGTTTTAGTAAGATAATAATTAAACTCTACTGTCAAGATGAACAAGGACTATTAAACCGTCAACCATTCCAGCTGGTAATATACACATGAATTTCAATCGTTTATGAGTAATATTCATGAATACGCTATCGAATGCAGAGTCTCCGATATCGTCTTATTTAATGTTATCGGCTCCCTTACGATTGTCCAGTCTAAAAAAAGCGCTTTAAAAATATGGAAAACATTTTGTCTGTAACATTTAAACCTACTGAGACAAAATATTTCTTAGTATATATTGGCTTCCCTAAATATTGATTGTATGGGTAATCTGTTCTTTTCTGCCTTCATTGGGGAAATAACCATCGATATTTGGAATCACATATCTTCAATTCTGCTATCTAAGACAGTTGATGTAATAACGTTTTCTCAGGATAAAAATATAATTTTTTTCAGTTAAATGAATTTGTTCATATGATTTTCAAGAAAATAATTACAACCATAGTCTTTTGAACTCTTAGTTTATAAGTGTTATGAATGAGGTTGGAATGAAAAATATGAATCATCACAATGAAACAGTGGCTAATTAATATGGAGCTCTTTGGCAATTTTAAAATTATAGATAAGAACTCTTAAGATGATCTGATCTATGACAAGGTTATTTTTTAATGCTCACCGAATTTCAGTTATCCTTCAGCTTTTAGATCTAGACAAGAATCATAGATACCTAACAATAATTTCATTTATCTATATCTATATCTATATGCCTTTATATGCAGTATTTGACATCATTTGAAGGTCTGGAGACAAGCAAGAATTATAAATCATCAAACGAGCAGTCAGTCTCAATCTAAGATAAAAGTGGTATCGATTGTTACCTTATGTTTGAATGGTTTACCAACAGAGATCAGTCTTCAATGGAAAGAATTGTCTAATATTTATCAGTTTACATACTTTATGTATACAGGTAGAATCGTGATCTTGAAAAGTCTTTAAAATAAGAATTTTTTCATCTAACTGCATATTGAAAGGGCATCAAAGCAAAATAATCTTAACTGAACTTATGCATTAACAGACTTAGAAACATTCAATTAACATTTCATAATTATAAAGTCTGGGAATGACTCACTTTTTCTTGAGCTAAGATATTCAAATCAAATCGGACTATATATATTTAAAAATTTAAAAATTTGACCTTCACTGACAATCAATAATTTCTAATATAGATTGCTAACAAAAACAGGTTACGATGAATAAAATTAAACAAACTCACTACATTGTTCAATGTGAACCCTTAACCGAAATTTGTTTATAAATAAAGAAAACAACGAGTAAACAGATAAGTATTACGGCTTTTCTTTACAAATATATTATTATTAGATTATTTTAAAATAACGAAGACAGATAATAAACTGAATAGGTGTTGCTATAGGGAGTCCAACACAACTACTAATTCATCTCTTTAAACCTTTAAATATGAATTGTATCACTGAAAGAACAGTGTTTATAATTTGTTATTTCATAGAAGTAATCAACGTAAATATTCGCCATTTACTTGTTGGATAATCTAGCTATTTATTATACTCCATTCTTGCAATCATACAGTGACCTATTATTGAACTATTGTATTTTGTATAACTTCGGTCAACTAGTCTGATGAATTCATTGTATTTTTCATTTCCATCTCAAAATGAAAACAGATCACAGGAATTGGATGGAAAATCAATAACGCTAATGTAGGTATACTTATTCAGTTTTAAGCCATAAATTTTTGTAAACACATTGATAATACTTATTGTCCTGACAAAATAGAAGCAAATGACATGGAGTTAAAATGTGCGGCAATGGTTATAGGTCATATGTTCTCATTACTAAGCCACCATTTGATATTCGAGAAACGTCAACAAATTAAAATCAGGTGATGTTAAATATCGTATAAGTCAGTTTTTTGATTGACATTTAATAATCAACAGATAATCTGCTGTCACTGGAGCATGTGAACTCAAAGTTTGTTTTGCATTAAACTCACAGGTAAGTAATTCTAAGTTAATGCCTAATATAGTTTCAATAAGGTTCAGGCTTTCCTTAGTCTTTATTGAGTTTCCTTACTTTATATATAAACTAAAATGTACAATCTATCATGCAATAAATTCTTTTTCCCCTCCTGAAGTTTTACTTTTACTGATGTTATACAGCTTTGCCTTGAGATTCCAATATTCAGTTACGATTTAAAGATGACTGTTGAATAATTTTAGTAAATACAACCAATAACTGAATAAATATGAAGAAACATTTTCATTATTAATGGATATCCACGGGAGAGTAAGTGTGAGTTAGCACACACTCTTTCCTTTAGTAAAAAATTATTTGTTTCCAAGATTTGCTCAATCAATTTTAAAGTCACGGAATATAGTTCATTGAGATGAACACATTTCATGTATACGGGCTTTATATTTCACCGATTGAAAGCGTCTGGTTCTTGAAACTGATGAAGGAGGTTTGAGTCTACGACCGGTTACTTGTAAAGTGAAATTAAGAGGTTAATTACAAATACATGGAATACTGTTGAGAGTGGATTGTATTCCACGTTCAGTGGTTTCTAACTCTTCTTGATTGTTACGATGTGAGTTGTTACCAGTTAACAATTATTATTGATTTTGAACTGAATAAATCTTTACCAATCATCTGTTTCAAATTTATTTTATTATAAGAATCACTATATTTTCTGAACCAAAAGTGGATAAGGCTAAAATATTATGAAAGTATAATGTAAACTGATGATAATATTTTATATTAGTATACGATTCAGAGAAAATATTCCTATTCGACTTTAATAAGATATAAAACTACATTTTAAATTACTTCACAGCATACACTTATCTCAAGTCAGTTGAGATTCGGTAATTTTTAGATGATGGAGAATGTTTGTAGCCTAAGATGAGGATTTGAGATTGGTTGTGTTTTTTCAGAAACAGCTGTCAGTTAACAAGAAAGTCAGAACTCTTAATATAAATGTTAAGACATCTGTTTTTCGGAGATGAAACTTGGAGAGTTGGTACGACCATGAACAAAGAAATACACAATACCTTTGGACCAGATATCAACAGCAACAATTTATTCTGGCACAAAACAAACTAGTTTCCAGCTGAAGAAGAAATTATTAACGGATGCTGGATGTGGATACGACACACACTGCGGAAATAATCAAACTAAGTCAAAAGGCAAGACCTAACTTGGAATCCTGAAAACAAAAGGAAAAAAAGGCAGACCACCGAATACATTGTGTCGGGAATAGGAAGCAGACATCATAGGAATGAATAGCACTTGGAAATAACTGGAAAGGAGAGTTCAGGATATAGTAGTTTTTAAATTGCTGATCGGCTGGTTTTGCTCAATGGAGGGTAAAAAGAGTAAATTAAAAAAAATTCTAAAGTGTATGGTTGAATCTTGATGCTTCCATTGACTTTCAAGACTAAATCATCGACATATGTTTCAAAAAGTAGAAAAGCATTTTCTCTTGAAGTATGTATTGTAGTCTATAAAGACAAATCGCTTATTATTCCAAGTAAAAACAAGCTAGAAGATTTTTGCAGAATTCCCCTTTCTATATTGAATTAGATAATGTAATTATCAGTTAATTTATTCCAATTCTATCAACAGTTGTGATTCTAAATGGATTACTGTAGATGCTAAGGCGTAGCTAATGGATATAACAATTATTATTATTGTTGTTCACGTTACTATAGCCAATGTAAAATTGTTTTCCTTTAATTTTTAAAGTTCACTCAAATAACCATAGTAACTATGGTTGACCTTCATACAGTAGAACAGTTCAGTACCAACTAGCAAAGAAAATAGTTATGATATTTTGCTTTCGGAAAATTAAAACACAAAGATGACGTAAGGTGTGGTACAGGGAAAACTGTATTCAGTAAAAGGTATTAAGACATATGACCTTTGAATAACATTAGAAAAAGTAAAAAAGGTATGAAAAGTGAAATATAGATCATTTGGAAGTAATGGAGATATATTTTGATTATTTTAGCTAAAATAAATATGTTAGTAAATGGAGAGGAGTCTCCGTCAAATAGTGGTTTATCGAATGATGTTGAGTCATTCGAACTACTACCCAGAAACCAATCGATCCAACAGTCTCAGTTCTAGGAGAGGTTGGTGGCGATACTAATCACACCGTGCTAACTTCTCAGACTGTAAACTGAGTCATCTAATATCCGATTTCACACGGAGCAGCAGTTCACAGGAACCTCTTGCTGATAAATACCAACTAGCACGAAACGTAAGATCATAGTTTCCTGTCGATTACCTAAAATCATATAACATCTCAACAAAATACACTCTTCCTTCTGTTGTAGGAGTGCTAATGCACACTTTCGAGGAGTTCTATACTAGGGCATAACAACTACTTAGTTTTTCGTATTTTTACTGGTTGTCTAGGACCAGTCTATTATATTATCATATTCATTTCAATGTTTTAACCTTTTGCTAATATGTTTTATTTTTTTAGGCAAAACAATTTAAGAAAGTGAATAAAAATTTCAATCTATTGAAATGGAAACAACATAAATGTATGACAAGTTTAATAGTTATTGGTTCAACGATATTAACAATGATTATAATATTACTACTAATATACCTTTAACCCATATAAAGATGATTAACAGTCTTTAAGAAGTAATTTTACATAATCTATGTGATGATCACATATGGTAATATAAACTTGTGGATTAGGATTACTCATTAGGAAACAATACAGAATATGTGACTTCTTTAATAACCAAATCCTCATGTACTTATTAGGTTTTATATCAGTTATCAATTTTTTTTAGATCCAACCGGTAGTTTGAGAATAATTATAGTGTTATCCTTTAAGATTCATACCGTTTATTTTAATCATATCTGATGTAAAAAATAAATGATAAAATTAGTCTTGAACATTTATTTAGACTTTTGATTTTATGCATTAAGAATACACTGGAGTTGCCTTCACATTTGAGAGATAATATGAGTTCGCACGACTTTTCTAAAGTAGTATTTAGTATGCCTCAATGGTCTGAGGATAAACTTTGTAAATTTTTTGGAGTATAACTATGGATTGTCAGATCGATCGCTTGAATTATTGCAATTGATGTGGTTACATGAATGACGACTCATAAAATTCGGATTTATTGACTTAACATCTTTAAAGAATACACAACAGAAGACAACAACTTGTTGGCAAGGTATAAGTCATTTTATATAGAGATTTGATAATATTTATGTGCAGAATATTTAGTGCAAAATAAACGTCATTAAAATCCATTTAAAATGTCAATGACTGTTAGATCTGAATTCGGTAAGTCTTTCATCAACCAACAAATTTAAGGTCATTGTTATGTCCTTAGCTATACGATTATCGCAAAGTACGATTGCCAATTTAGATACTCTGAATTAAACGACCAAACTAATGACGCATACACCAGTATGGACAGCCCAGAGTTCCGATTGGTCCTTTTTCCGCCTACCCCTGCCTGTTAAGTCCAGAACGTCAATATCAGCCTCCGCGATACGAATCATACATTTCAAACACATCGGGCTTATATACGAACAAATTAGACTGCATCACACCATAAAATAGGAAATAACATTTGTATAAGATCTAGCTAAAAGTGGCTGTGATTATGAGAAACTATTACTAGTAAATTAGAAATATCTTAAGGACAGTAAATCGTATGATAATAGTCAATAGATCAAATAAAAGCTTATAACAAGGCAAATATATATATATATATATATATATATATATATAATGTAGTCACGTTGTAGTCATACAATAAGAACATTAGTTCATAAATAATTCCTAACGATTACCATTCATTTATTCTCGTCCGGATACAGCAGTCATATAATCAGTCTTATTTGTTGTCCGCTGTATTAGTGCTAAGATAGTATGATCTACAGTCCTAACCGTAAACGCTCCTATGATTCAATCTAGTCAACTATAAATTTGTTATACAGTTTTGTAGTAAAACGTTCTTAACTATATGCCTAACGAGATATATAAACTGTGGTACATTTCGGTGCAGTATAACATATACGCACAAGAGCTAGAAATCCGAGTAACAAAAAACTTTTGATCATCTATCTAGCCTTCTAGTGACCTACAATCATACTGGGGCCGTTGATCAAAATGTTAAAAAGATTTGGGATTTCATTCCCACATTCCTTCGGTTTTATTAGTTCAAACAATATTAATGTTAATCACAAATAATGAGGTTTTTTAATAAAAATAATTCTTCATATCGAAAAAGAATCCTAGATTATTTAGAAGGATCAATATGAGTAAACATTATAGCCAGATCAAAACACCTTCACAGTCAGTTTTTAAAAATTAGATTAAAGTTTTATTGTCATAGCTTGAGTCATGAACTGATTTTAGCGAGAACGCCAATAAAAACCAGAAATCACTAGACGACTGTTTTATTGCAGTATGGGATTCTTCATCAATGAGTATCTCCAACCCCACCAAAGGGAATATAAAACCGCAAACTTCAGCGTTGCTCTGGAATGCTTGACCTTTAAAATTTTTATACCACATCTAGTAGTGACATATGTTTAGCCTCAGTCAGTTCGCGATATTATGCAACTGTCTCCCCTTGCCTGGGATGGATAACTGCCTCTCAACAGACGTAGTCGATACCATTCGTATTTATTTATTAGGTAATGTTGGTCAAGTGTTCAGCAATAATCAGTAAGAAAGTGATTAAGATAACAACAAAGTTTTATCTAGACGACTACTGGAAATCAAAAGAACTAAATATCTATTTTGTCCGTCTATATAACTTAATTCAAACAAATATCCGAGACTTCATTAGGATCGAATCCAAAACTTTCAGCCTGAGTTACAGTTGAGTTAATAACTAGGATTTCATGTAATCAATTCATGTATGGCTAATACTTAATTGAGATAATATGAATCGCAGCGATAATGTTTAACTACCTTCCCATTAGCCTGATTATGATTTGCACGTGAATGTATAAGATATGGGTAGCACTATCTACTAGATGAACCCATTGTTCACACTCTTATATTACTACCCTCCATTATTAGAAATATCACTAATAAGCTCTAAAGAACTCTTGGATAAGATATATAAATATCGATCTGTCATGACCTATAATGTTGAATTTGTGTTTTGCAAAAAAAATAAAAATAAAATCCTAGCCAAACTAACCAATTCTATCAGGATAGTATCTATTTTAGAGTTGAATTCATTGTGCGAAAACATTAGTTTATTGATTGAAAATTTCACTCAAAACTTATTGATGTTTTAAACAGATACTTAAGAAACAGAGTGAATTAAATATTGATTAAATTTTTGTTGTTTTAATAAATTGTTTTGATTGATTTTCATATATGGAATTTTGTTGTTTTTCTCTTTTAGAAAAAAAAATAAACCAAACAAATCGAATTAATAATTAATCTAAATGTTTTACGTGTTTGTTTAATTAATTTGTTGATTTGATTATGTTATTTATTGATGCTAGCTAGCATCTATGTATATATAAATATATTCAAACGCCTAACACGAAATTATGGACATTCAAAATTTACGATGCTTAATTGATTCTTACTACAAATGAAAAAAAGCTATAGTAGCCAGAATTTATGAATAGGAAAATTGTTTTATTTCTCTGATTTTATAATCAGTACAGAGGAACCAAAGTATTTTAAATGACATGGATATACATGAAGGTTGTTATGACAACATTAATTTGTTAAATAAGTTTTGTGAAGTGTTTAGATGTACGATATGAATTTTACAAATCATTCACGACAATCTCACCTTTGCATAGATGTAATGTGGTTTGAAGTAATTGCCTTTAAACTTAGGTTTCGTGCTAGATGCTACTTTTCGGAGTTGGATATCTATAATTTTGAAGGGACTGGTGATTTTCGTAAGTTTTGAATTTGTGTCTCTGAGGATCACAGTCAGATATATTACTATTGAGGTTGCAGCCGCTTAACTACCAAACAATAAGTTATTTAGACTAATTGAGTCACCATAAAACGATTTGAACTGATTAATAATTCCAGTATTAGGAAATAAAGTGGATGGAAGTTGTTTAAACCCCTTTTCAAGATAACTCGAACAAGCATATCATGAACTTGATTGAGAGAAAATCATCTAGATGACATTTCTTGGGTAATCTAGCCAGGAACGTTTTATCAGTCAATACATTCTCTATTTAATTTGAACATTTAAAATATTTTCTTAAACAGATGATGTTTACTAAATTAGATATATTCACTGGTATACATCTGATAATTATTTTATAGTCTATATCATAAACTGATCTTAATTAGGCAACCATGGAAAAGTAAGAAGCAATGTATCGTTATTTTGGCCTAGGAAACTTGAGACTTACGGTGAGATCTTAACTTACAAGTTATTAAATCAGTATTCAGTGGTTCACATTCCAAACTTCACTGAAGTTTTAGTGTTGTCCAACTGTCTTGGATCGCTATTGGTGAGTAACCTAATGATTTCAAATATTTGTGAAATTCATTGGTTAGAGCTTCTTACTTTATTTTTATTTGTCGGATGATGAATTCGACATCACAATTCTTCAAGATCCGACCGTCTTCGCTAATCCCTATAGCGACTGACGACAGCGAAAATCGACATCTTAAAATGAACATAGCTACAATTGATTGATAACTGAGTGGTGGCCAATATCATCCTTACTTAGTCCACTTAATGTTTACCATATACTATCGTTGGAGTTGAGACGTGGTAACCACTCTAAGTAGGACATCTACGTTATGCTGAGATATTAGGTGGTCAGACATGGTCAACAGAGTTTCTTAGTGACTCCCTCCAGCCACCTAACACAGCACATATATATTACATGTCTAGAGAAAAGTATTTATGAATGTTGAATGAATATATTCAATGACATTTATTAAGTACTAAGTTAGTTAACTTTGTAAATATTTATATCTCAACTCAACTATTTAGGAGTACAGAACTTGAAAAACCTGGGATTCTATCCTTTGTGAGATAGTAAGAATGCATAAATCATATCAAAATTTTTTTTCAGCAAGGTTTAACCAGTCAAACTGTTTATAACTTTCTACTTACAAATCACAATCATTGAGATTATTTCAAATATTACTTTTACATTTAGCGTCTTCTAAATAATTTTCACCCTATTCCTGTCAAACTTAAAGAGAGCAAAACAAAAATCTGGGTACAATAACATGAATCCATCTTATTTCTTCAGGTTATCGTCAACTGCATACGACCTATAATATTAATCATTGAAATGATCATAGAACGAAACACAGTAATACAAGCGAAGTTAGTGTTAAGTGAATACATATCATTACAATGGAACAGAGGTTCCAATAAAGAGAATGAAATTGAAAAAATATTTCAGATAAATACAGCGTGGGAGAGAAGATTCTAGAACATCGAAAGAGCTGAAAGTTCTGTTGATTGAGTGATGAATGTGAATTTTAAAATATTCTGGATTGTAAGTAACTGACGATCATAGCACAAAGAAACAAAATGAATTCATGTTATTCTACTTAGATCTTCGTTTTTGTTCTCTTCAGGAAAGTAAAGGAAACTGTATGCATGCAATTTCTGAAAAAGCGCCTACAATCATTGACGCCGCTGGTAAGAGTACACTGTAAAGTTGTCGTGAGAAGTGACTAAAATTTAGTTATTTGATGAATGTCCCAGTCAATTTGTAAAATCTCTATTCTCGTGTAAATTTCAGCCTTCGCTCAAATATTTTTGACCTTCATTAAAATTTTACAATCAATTGAGGAAGTTGCTTATCGAGCGTGTATTTGATAAAATAGTCATTGTTTAAAATATTGCGTTTAGGATAAACTTTAATAAATTTGTCCATGATCTGTAAAGCGAAATATGTAAGCATTTCCATGAAACGTTTTCAAAGATTGTGTTAAAGGGACACTAATGTCAAGGACTTTCGGGAAGCCTTGCGAAATGTCTTTACAATCTATCAATTATACGGCTAAATAAGATAAAAGCTGAAGCTTTATCTCTGAGATTCAAATTCCGTATTCTAAAAAAAGATAATAAAAAGAGTGACATGCAAACTTAATTCAGAAATTTGAGGAAAAAGGAGGCTAGTTGGCATCGAAACTAATTGTTATAACTGACTAATACTTCATCTTACTCATACCAAGGTCAATAATTTTATCTAAAAATCATGTGATAGCACCACGAAGCCTTAGGCAGAATGAAAGACTAATAATATTATTATCAGATAAATGTTCCGATGTTGTTACTAAGATGCTACCAAGATGAAATCCATTCTAGATCATTTAAGATTCAAACTAGATACAAGTAACAAGAAATTAATTGATCAAACATAAAAATCACAAGTGCATTAAGAGAACTACTGAAGAAGTAAATGACTGATAATCCCTTCTACAATGGAGTGGAGTTTCAGGTTTCTCGTTTGCCCCTAATGTGTGGTTTACTATAGGTCCATAGACATAATATCTTGTTTAGGTCTATTTCCTTAATGATCACTTCATCCTATCATGAAACTGAAAGGTGGATGGCAGAGAAATAAAAATCGGCTGGTCAGGGAGTAGCTCAAAGTTATCCACCTGAGCCACAAATCCTCTCTAACATCCCTAAAGGACTAGCTACATATAAATTAAAAGGTTAGCTACAGTTTGAGACAAATTTGAATCACGCAAACAATGATTGTAAGTTAACAGTTTTTTTAATGTGTTATGTCTTGTGGCCGATTGGATGCCCTAATAATGTAGAGCGTGTTAAGACCGCCATTCAGAGAACAGAGAATTATCGATTGGAACAGTGACACACGGAAGCCGTACGAGCAGTCTAGAGTACTTATCGGTCCTGCTTCTGCCTAGCCTAGCCAGTTAAGTCCAGAACACCAATAACAGCCTCTGCAATATAAATCATTATATTTCAAACACACTGAGTTTATATACCAATCAAACTGACCACGTTGTACCATAAAATAGAAAATAACATATGTACAGGATTTAGCCAAATGTGGCTGTGAATAGGGGGAACAGTAATTAATAGACTAGGGATGGTAAATGGTAAATCGTATAATAATAGTTCATAGGTCAAAATAAAGCTCATAATAAGAGGGACATGAATATGAATAGTTTAGCTATTTAACAATTATACGATAAAAAAATATATGCATAATATTGGTTTCTTAAATAGATCCCAAAGTTACCATTCATTATCCTTATTGGGGCATGATGTAATATCTCTATTTACCAAAATATCTTTTCTTGAGACTATTAACACAATTCGCCAGAATTCCGATCTCTAATAGTATCAGGACTCAAACGGCCGCTTATCATCTGTACAAAAGATGTTCATTTTCGATTTGATAACATCATATACCGTCAAGCAGATGGTGTAGCATTGGAAAGTGGTAACAGATATATTGTCATGGCTAATCTTACAAACCCTGGGTTTAAAAGAGAGACAGTGGACAGAGTGTATTATTTAAGGTATGCTGACGATACTTTTCTAGTACGTACTTATTAAAAAAAACATCCAACATACTTGCTGAAGCTCTCAAACGGAGCTTATTAGAATATTCAGTTTACTATGAAATGTGAACGATAACAAGTTCCGTTTTCTTTATATCATAGTAAAGGGAAGGAGGTTGAACAATTTAACATTCAGTTTGCCAAAAAGATACATGAAATAGAGTTTATCTCGATTTCAGTAGCTTTTGTTCAGTGAGTTATAAAATGCTACTGGTCAAAAAATTGTTTCACAACACGCAAAAGTTATGTACCGCCCATACACTAAGACGGAGCTAATGAATATTTTAGAAAAAGTCAAGGAAAAACGAGCATCTACAGAAGTCTACCAATAGTTTAGGCTACATACTGTGTGAAGTTGTGAATGATGTAAATAATTAATAATAATCAACTCTAGGACCAAAAATGATAAAAATACTTATATATATTGCCAAAACTATTTCATTAATAGCACTATTCAAACCTACAACTTAGCGACTGATGATCGGACGCCTCAACCACCAAGCCACAACTTTTGTCAAAAATAATGATCCTAACTAAGCTAAATAGACAAACTAATTGATCATTTTACAGCAAGCAATAGCAATCTTGGTCGTATTTCTTCAGTCAAATTTTGGTAATTAAGTCAAAAAGCATATACCTATGACTCACTCAGAGGTCAAATAATCATGTATAATTTGACTAGTAATACGTTGTTAATATTAGTTAAATATAATGTACACGATCATAGAAACGTAATTTTAATCTTTACCAGAGATTACCATTTATGATTGTCTGTTCGGAATATATTGTCACATTTCATATAGTTGTGATCACAGAATATATTCACTAATCCATTAATAAATCAAATAGGAACATGGGAAACTAATCCTACTAGCTATTAGTTTTGTATATAAGTTTGCTTTCAAAAAAACACTCTGATGGTTAAAAAATACTTTATATCTCATAAAATATACATAAAAATTTAAAACAGTAAATAAGTAATGAATCACAGCCATGGAATTAAAGTGTACTTTATAAAAGATAGGAATCGTTCCACTAAGTGGAGATTAATACAAATACTCAGATTAAAGATGTATATTACGATCGGTATAAACGTTCCAGAAGTAAATTGTAGGGAAATGTTTGTAGAAAATAGTTGAAATCCCAATTTTAAGAAATTATCACAAGGTTCGAATTATTATTAACATTCTCATTTGATTTTCATTGAAAGTAGTCAATAGTTAGCA